TATATATATATATATATATATATATATATATATATATATATATATATATATATATATATATAAATATCTGATAGCCAAAACATGAAAACACAACAGCTATTAGGCTAAGAAAAAATCTAAGTTGACACAATGTTATCAGAGCCACTCTTCCAAGACTGAAAGTTGCCCCACCTTTTGAAAAGTACGTCCAGAGAGACAACTTTCTGCCCGAGACCAGCTCGATCCCGCCATCTCTTTCCTAGAACGGGTTCCTGAACCGCCCAGACAGGGCAGGAGAGCTAAGGTCCTGGGAAGAGGCCGTAAAAATAATTCCTCCCACCGCATCCGTACCCACTCTGCCTCTCCTTTGCCTAAAGGCGAGCAGCGAGCGCTCCCAACGCTGCCCACCGCCAGGCCAGCGGGCTCCTCCTGGTCTCCCTCATCGGCCCGTAACTCATCGAGGGTGACCTGCGGACCAAAGCAGCCCAGAAAGGAGCTCAAGCCGACCCACCAGTACCTGCTCTAGAGGTCTCCGGCAGGCCCCCGCGACTACACATCTCTCTCGACCACACGATTTTCACCGACTTTATTGGCCCCCGACCCCGGTGGGTCCCTCGCAGCCCATCTCCCCACTAGATCGCGCCGGCTCTCCAAGACATCCAGCATAATCAAAAACACTTCGGAGTGGCTATGAAAAGACCCTTTGCTCAGGAAGCCAGCTCCCCGGTGGCGGCGCCAGGGTCACTTGCTCTTCGCCTTCTGACTCTCCGTCTTTTTGGGCAGCAGCACAGCCTGGATGTTGGGCAGGACGCCGCCCTGAGCGATGGTCACTTTCCCCAGCAGCTTGTTTAGCTCCTCGTCGTTGCGGATGGCGAGCTGCAGGTGGCGAGGGATTATCCTGGTCTTCTTGTTGTCACGCGCAGCGTTGCCAGCCAACTCCAGGATCTCCGCGGTCAGGTACTCCAACACCGCCGCCAGGTACACCGGCGCCCCAGCGCCTACTCGCTCCGCGTAGTTACCTTTGCGCAGCAGTCTGTGCACTCGGCCCACCGGGAACTGCAGGCCCGCGCGGGAGGACCGGGACTTGGCCTTTGCTCGCACTTTGCCGCCCTGCTTTCCCCGACCAGACATGTTCACCTCTCTCCTAAAACTCTAGCGAGAGAAAAAAAGTCAGTGATCCGAGTCCAGGTATAGTAATGGGAACGCAACGCACCACACCGGAACTGCCTCTACCAACACTTTGCTGCCACTTGGCAGCGGCTCCCCATTGGACATCGCAACATTCTCGCGAGTAACTAATGACAGGCAGGCTCCATTCCCAATTAGCGTGCTGGCAGAGGGACCGCCTTCTCCAGCTTTGTCCAATCAAAAAGTAAACTCCAAGTTTGCCGGTACCAGTTTCTCTACGTTTGGAGCTCCCTTTAAGTTATTGGATCATGAGGTTTCGATGTCCACGCTGGGTCCCAGGAAAATAAAGTGTTAAGAATGTGGTTAGAAACAGAAAGAGCCGGAAGAGCTACTCCGCCTCCACAAGTACGAAAGCTCAAGGAAGAAATGCCCCTTGAGGTCGCGCACAGTGTGCCAGATGTCGCTGTGCCCTCTACGCGGATTTTCTCACATAATACAGCATCCTAGCCAGGTAATTACCTAACTCCAGAGACTGCGCTTGTGGGCAACACTGGTCACAAACTCACACCGAATTCCTCCTGCCCAGCACAGGATACCTTGCCTGGTGTGTNAGCAACACCCTCCACAACTAGACTGAAGAACAAAAGGACAGCAACTTGTCTGTTCCCCTTCCCCCAATTCCCCAGCACTGTTCCCATCCCCCCAAATCCCCAACAAAAATCTTTAAAAAAAAAAAGTTACCACTGTTTCTATATTCTTTAAAATTAAAGTTAATTAAAATATGTAAAAAACTATATTCAATTAAATGAATGATAATAAAGTGTATATTTCAAATGGTTTTCTACTAATATTCTTCTCAGCCTTTTTTTTTTTTTAAGTTGCTCTTGTCACCATATATACCTCAAATTTCTGTATGCGCAATGTCAAAATGCAAAGGGTAAAAACACATATCCATTCCAGCACCATTAGGAAAGTCAGCCAACTTGTCAGTATTTGCCGTGTGGGAAAATGTAATAACCTGTAAAGAAGGTTTTTTCAGTTAAAGCAAATTAGGGGTGTCAAGGAGTACAGTGAACCAAATTGTGAAAAACCTCTATCCCTTAACCCTCTATCTCCTGGTGGCCTTCAGGCCATGTCCTCTCACCTCGTTGATGGCTCCGCTTCCTCTGCCAGTCGATTAGAACTCATAGATTCCCCCATCCCGTGGTGGCTGTGACTGGTTTTCATACATTCATTTATACGTCTATTTACATGTTCTTTATATGTACATTCCCTCCGGATGATTTTGTCCATGCTGACCATTTTTAGTCATGACTCCCAATTTCTTATCTCTAGGTCAGACCTCTCCCCCTGGATTCATTCACATCCAGCTACAGGTATTGTTTTTTGACCCCCATGTCTCTATATGTGCTGTTTCTCTGCCTAGAACATTCTGTCATGTCAGGCTTGCTCTTATGCCTAAACCTATCTCAGGTGGCATTCTTCCCACCAGGCTGAGCGACACCGTTTAATACCCTGGGCATCTGCTTTCCTTTACATGTAATCTGCTAGATTACAACCACCTTTTTTATTATAATCATTTTTCTTGGCAGTGGTTATCAGTCATAGGTATAACATATAATATATGCTCAATGAGTTGCTGAACAAACAGGTTTCATTTTTAATCGGCATGGGTGCACTTAACAAACCATTAATTCCAAACTAGATTGTCTTGGGGGAGAAGTGCAAATTGTAGTTCATAAGCATTAACGATTTATTACTCCCTTTTCTGTTATATATCAAGTTCTGGATGTCCTGTAATTAGCAAAACAGCCACTAAATTTGTTTTTATGATTTTACATCAGAAAAGTCACAGGATTGTTAGAATGCCGTATGTTTAGCTATTTCAATAGGCCCCATAACTACTGATACTTGCTCTAAGTCCAGTTTCACATAGAAATAAGAAGAGTTACTATTCACTGAGCATGTTTCTATATGGGAAACTTAGTGCCCTCACTCACTTTATCTCATTGACTCCTCCCCAAAACCCACTGAGTAAACTCTATTATTATATCCACTTAATAGACGAAACTGAGGTTGAAAGAGATTTGAATAACAGTTCCAAAATCACCTAACTAGAAAGGAACAGAGTGGATTTGAACCTGTCTCATTCAAGAGAGCTTGAGTTCTTAAACGCCATGGCGCATGACCTTTCAACCACTTGAAGGGGATTTGTGAAGCGTTTGCATATAGTAAGCCAGTCATCACCAATTATGAGAACAGACTAAACCTTTTCATTCCAGCCAGACAAAACTAATCAGGCCAGTTCTCAGAGACACAAAGGCAAGACTGGCCCTGCAGAAAAAACAAAGAATAAATCCTGCCTAAGTCACAGCCAGTCACACTGAATGGCTTATCTCTACAGGAAAGAATATGTGTGTCATAAATACAACTATGGATTATAAATCTATTGAAAATCGGAATTCAGGTCCCACCAGTTTTTGTACTGTCTTCTGCCATATGGCCTTGTACTTGAAGAAATATTGGCCTTTTAAATGAACAACCATACACTGACAAGAACCATTTGTCTGTCAAGGATCACAGGCTAAATTGATTTTGTAGGAAGTAGGCATTTTTCACTGTCACAAATTATTCAGGTTTAAAACAAAACAAAACAAAAAACAAAAAAAACCTCTCAGAAACAGAAATGGTGAGGGACGACTGATTGAACCTTGCAGCAGAGGAAGTATCTGAGGGGATCCTAAGAACCCCAGGGCAGTGGCTGTGAAGGGGGGTGGTGATGGGGGCACTCACTGCATTTGTCTTACTTTTCAGGTAACAGGGTTAGACAGACTCATGTGAATAGCAGAAGGAAAAGAAAGTGTTTTTTTCTTATAAATGTCTTGATAGCCCTGGTCCTTATTTCTTTACCATTTTGGTAACAAGCCTTAAATCTTTTAGGAAATTAAAACTTAAATGTTAAAACCAACACTTGATATATAGGGTTTTGTTTGTTTTTGCTCCACTGCTCACCATGCCCCATAGTAACACTGAGAACTATCTTAACAATTGGGCATTAAGAATAAGAACAAAAACAAAATCCTATTAGTTATGGTTACCTATACCTTAACCTTTAAAGGTAAGCCATATCCTGTAGGAAATGGTACTTCTTTCAACCTATTGAATGCTTAATATATGCTTCATATGTGTAGTAAATGAACAATCTCAGTCCTCAAGAGGGGTATTATGACTATTTTATGTATGAAAAAATCTTCTGGATGAAAGGTGAGGAGTGGAGTAGCTGGACATCCTGGAACCTGCCCACGGTAACTTTGGGATCTATTCTCCTCGGGAACTAGGGGCAATCATCTGCTTACCAGAGGTGTGTGGGGCCTGACCTTTGTACACTGCAAAGATGACCACATGGGCAAAGTAATCTCAACATTCATTCCACAAGCAAGAGACACACAAGTACTAAGAGAAGCTGAAGGGGAATCTTTTCTATGAAATTACTTTATTTTTTCATTGTTTTGTCTTCAGTCATTAAGAAAAAAAAGTCAGCTCCAAGAGTGGAAATCTAGTTGGCCATATTCAGAGCTGCATTCCCATCACCCATCACCTGGTACTGAGCGTGGCATATACAGAGGTCCAATAAATACTGAAGAAATAAAAAAAGTCCATGTGGGAAAATGGGCCAACCACTAACTACTAAGGGTGAAGACATCGCCTATTATTTTTTTCCAGGAAGGCTTCAACTCTGACTCACAGGAAAAATGAATTCAAAGACATAAAATCTAAACGGGGATGTTTTTTGTGGGCCCTGTGGGCCAGGATGAAGCTTGTGGAAAAGAGTGAAGTGGAAGGGTCAAGCAAGGACAGAACAGGATTGCTAGTGTTTAAATCTAAAATGTGATTCCTGATCTGCACTTGAATCATTTGCCCTTCCCTTTTCTCATAGCTCACATATTCATTAAAGCATTGCTGTGCCATTAAGCAACAGTAACCCCTACAGACACTGTTGGAATGAGGTCATTACTTCAGGCCAAGTGGAAGAACATAATGGACTTCAAGCTGGTTATCTGTTGTCATAAAGTAAAATCAAACCTATTACAATCCCAAAGGGATATAATATGATGTAGACAAGACTATTATGAAGCTAGAAACTTGAGCAAATCATTTTAAAAGCTCATAAGCCTATGTAACTCATGACCAAAGGCGCTGCAGTTATGCAACATGAGTGTCTGGAACAAATTTCCAACCTCATGACTCATGCTTCTGTATTACACATATTACTGTGTGTTTCCTTCATTTTAAAGAAATGTGAACATAAATGTATATATATATATATATATATATATATATATATATATA